ATTTTTTCAGTCTTGTGGGATAATTCTGTTCTGAGTGGTCTATGATTTTAACATTTGCTTCACAAAGGGTGAATGCATACTATATGAAATGACTTATTCCTTAAACCTCTTCAAATCTAACAATTCTACAGGATCCCAGTTAACTTCTGGTAGCCTTGGGGGTGCCTATCATCTGATGGTCATTTTTGTGTGGTAACTGAATATTGGTTTTCTAATAACCTTGGGCCTCTCCTCTTTAGTTTTATAATGCAATGGTGCAGTAGGTTCTGCTCTAAATTCCTCTGTCTCTGTGTGAATATTTTTCTTAGTTTCATTTGTAGGTCTTTCTAAGGATTGTATTGTATCAGTCAATTTGGACATTTGGAACTGATATCAAACCACTTTTTTTAAGGATAAAACATGAATTACCAAACTGATAATAATTATAATCAACATTATGTCAATCCCAGCTAAGTTGATTATCCCTTCATTGCTTTTTTTTTTAATTTTCAAACCATCCATTGTGTCCTAACTCCCTGTATCATAATACTGTTCCCATTCTTAATGTAGAAATACTTTTTTCTTTCTTTTTTTTCTTTTTTCTTTTTTTCTTTTTTTTTTTTTTTGTTTTTTGTTTTTTGTTTTTTTGAGACAGGGTTTCTCTGTGTAGCTTTGCACCTTTCCTGGATCTCGCTCTGTAGACCAGGCTGGCCTCAAACTCAAAAAGATCTGCCTGCCTCTGCCTCCCGAGTGCTGGGATTAAAGGCGTGCACCACCACCACCCGGCTTACTTTTTTCTTAAGGAGACTAATTTTTTCCTTAAGAATTCCCAGTTATCTCACCAGATCTGCTGGCTTCTCAGTTTTTCTACAGCAGCTGTGCTTGACTGTGTGTGTGGTGGTGGGGGTCGGTTTCGGGGTGCCCAGACAGCCAGGCTAGCACAGTGGGCCCTGGAGTCGCCATGGGAAGCTGCTGTGCTGCATGGGCTGGGCAGAGGGCACTTGCAGCTGCTCACATGTAGCCTGTGCCTGAGGTCGTCTGGCAATGGCAGTGCAGCAGCAGACTGAGCAGGTGTGAGCAGGTGTTGAGGTGGCCTGAGGAAGGGGTCCAGGGAAGGCCCACAACCTTCGAGGAGAGAGAATAAGCTGCCTGAAAAGTGGACGTGGGGATGTGCAGGAGAAAGCGGCATGGCAGGAAGGGAGGGCAAGGGCCTCCTGAATGACAGCCAGCAGCTGCCTCAGGACCAGATATCACAGTAAAAACCTGATGGATCAGAGAAGTGGTGGAGAAGCGACCATTGACTTGCTCTCTTTCTCTCCTTTCTCAATCCAAAAAGGGTATGCAAATCTTTCTAAGCTCCCTCCTTCTAAGCCCTGTGTCTACTACTTCCTGTGGCCCTCTCTATATCCTGGGTCCTCCAAAACCTCTATGACTAGTTCTGGTCAGCTAGTAACTAGCTCCATCCTCTGATTCAAGGTAAACTTTATTGTCAGTCTCAGAAGAGTCAGAGTAAGTTCAAAATAGCCCACAACAAACTGGGTGGTGGTGGTGCACGCCTTTAATCCCAGCACTCGGGAGGCAGAGCCAGGCGAATCTCTCTTGAGTTCAAGGCCAGCCTGGTCTACAGAGCAAGATCCAGGACAGGCACCAAAAATACACAGAGAAACCCTGTCTCCAAAAACAAACAAACAAAAAATCCCCCAACACATGGTCTTACTATGTAGCCATGGCTGTCTTAGATCTCACTATAAAGACTAGACTGGCTTCAAATTCACAGAGATCCACCTCCCTCTGCCACCAGAATGCTGGGGGTAAAGGTGTGTGATTTACTTGCTTTTTTGCACATTAAGTTTTTTACTCCAAACATTGTAAATTTTAGTTTGGGGGTATTATAGATTTTGTTATTCCCATAAATGTGCTCCCAGGTGCTGTGGGATGGTCTGTATGTCAAGTTGCTCTGATTGGTCAATAAATAAAACACTGATTGGCCAGTGGCTAGGCAGGAAGTATAGGCAGGACTAACAGAGAGGAGAAAAGAAAGAACAGGAAGGCGGAAGGAAGTCACTGCCAGCCGCCACCATGACAAGCAGCATGTGAAGACACTGGTAAGCCAAGAGCCATGTGGCAAGGTATAGATTTATGGAAATGGATTAATTTAAGCTATAAGAACAGTTAGCAAGAAGCCTGCCACAGCTATACAATTTGTAAGCAATATAAGTGTCTGTGTTTACTTGGTTGGATCTGAGCGGCTGTGGGACTGGCAGGTGACAGAGATTTGTCCTGACTGTGGGCAAGGGAGGAAAACTCTAGCTACACCCAGGTATGGCTATAGTTACTCAAAAGGATCTCACCGTTTTGATTCTATCTTTGAAGATTTGTGAGGTGGGAATATGAAGTAACCTTTAGAGCTGCTGATTTATAACTCCCAAGACACATTCTAAGTGTCTTGTGGCCGTCAGTCATCAGTTCTCCTTCCTGGTATGTGTGAGTGCCCTGTGGCCATCTGTCATTTGCGTGTGTGAACAGAGAGGATTTATAACGACATACCAAACTACATTATTTTTCTTTATAACCCAATTGGCAGTTCTTTTCCTGACTGTCAGCAGTTTCTACGAACACATGCAGCACTCAGTGCTTTGCGGAATACCTGAGCTGTCTCCCTTCCTGGTTCTGTTTTTTCTCTGTGTGCCTCTTACCTTATGATACTCTGTCCTGTGAACTGTTGCCACTTTGATTATCTTGGTTTCTCAGCTCTGGTTCTGTCTGTCCTCAAATAATCTACTGTTGGTTACTTTGTGTTTCCCTCCTGGCAACAGAAAATTTTCCAGAGTAGTAAGTTAGTGTGCAGTCAGCTTTTCACTGTGGCAAAATACCCTAGAAAGACAACTAAATAGAAGGAAAGTTTCCTGAGTCCCAAGTTTCAGAGATTTTAGTCCATGGTCACTACATTTTTATCACTGTAGACATGTTGGACACAGAGTCTTCTGACTCTTGCCCTAAGCAGGGTTAACAGTCATCCTCTGGACAGCAGTCCTCAAAACAGTTCATGCATATAAAGCTAGATTATTTCCAAATGGAGAAGTTCGTCATTGTGGTAGGGGTACACACAGAAATTATCTAATGGGACTATAATAGCTTCTTTTTGTCTGTTTGTTTGTTTTTGTTTTTCAAGACAGGGTTTCTCTGTGTAATTTGGTGCCTGTCCTGGATCTCGCTCTGTAGACCAGGCTAGCCTCGAACTCACAGAGATCCGTCTGGCTCTGCCTCCCAAGTGCTGGGATTAAAGGTGTGCACCACCACTGCTCGGTGATAATAGCTTCTTAAGGACCCCCCAGAAGTACTAGAATTGAAACAATGATTACTCAGACCACACCTTGATCAGGACTGCTGAGTTATGCATAGTCCCTTCCTCTCCCCCACCTAGATCTACCACTCATGTCAGTTCTTGGAGATGAACTTGTTATCACAAGGCTCTTTTAGTGTTTGTTGTCTCCAATGTAGCCACATTAAATAAGCTCTCTTTGCTTTTTACCATCCCCCCCCCCAAATAAAACAAAAACAAAATAGCACCCTGGTTTTGTTTGGTTTTCAGTATTTGTTTTATGGTCTTGAGTAAGGGAGGTTGAGTCCATTCACTTCATTTTGGCCGTAAGTCAATAATATCCTTTACATCTTTTGTTTTGATTCAAGATCAATTACATGGCAGGTGTTACCTCTCATGTTTTTGGTTTTGAATCAAAGACATTTAACTCCTTTTTCATGAGCCATGAATTGGCATTCTAGTCTAGATTTGTCTGTTTCCTTGTGAGTAATTCAGGTCAGATATCTGTACTGTCTTCTTGATGGGACTTAAAGTGACCTGTCATGCTGAGTTTGATCACATGTAAAGGGGAGTGTTGAAGATCTTCAAATTACTGTTTTTATATGTTGTAATTTGAGACTGGCTAAGGCACTTAGGAGGCAGGAGTTCATGGATCTCTATGAGTGTGAGGCTAGCAGGGTCTATATATCAAGTTTCAGGACAGCCAGTGCTACATAGAGAGACCTTGTCTCAAAAAACAAACACAGGAAGAGAAGGGAGAAGAGCCAGGAAGGAAGGAGGAAGAATGAAGCTGTGGACTCCTGAGACCTTAACGGCCCTGCCCTCAAACACCTTTCACCTGACTGTGTTGGGAACCTTTTTGGAACTAGTTATTACTTGGTAGTTGCAAAATTTTCTTCCACATCAGTTAGCTAGTGTTTTCTCCAAGACTTACCCTGATTTTCTTTTTGAGTATCATTAGGAGTTCAGATTCTCTTTACATTATATTATTTATTATCCCTCCTTTGTTCTCACTTTCTCTTTGTGTCTCCCAAAGTGTGTGTGTGTTTGTGTGTGTGTGTGTGTGTGTGTGTGTGTGTGTGTGTGTGTGTGAGAGAGAGAGAGAGAGAGAGAGAGAGAGAGAGAGAGAGAGAGAGAGAGAGAGATCAAATCCAGGTCCTTGTACTGCTGCACAAACACCATACCAAAGAGCTGCACCACAGCCCATATTCATTGGAACACAAAAATAATTCAGATTTGGTCAGAGTGATCCATGCTGCCAGTTAACCGTAAAGTATGGGTTAAAGTAGGCTATTTTAGGCCTTGTGTAATCTCAAATATTCTAATAACAGCAATAGGGAAAAGTATCCCTAGGTTGGAGGCTTGCCCAGGCCCTTCTTCCTGTTCATGACCAACAGAGGGAGACTTGAGCTGGGAGGAGAGGCTTCTTCCACCCATGTCACCTAGTGCTGTTCCCGTCACCTTTGTTTTAGGCACAAACCCACCCTGACCCTCGCCCTTCTTTGAGCACCTCTGTCCTCCTCCATGATTATTTTCAATTTCAGGGAGCAGCAATTTGCCTTTGAGTCCCCACCCAACTGCCCATGCCACGTGCCTCAAGAACTCCTTCCTCTCCAACTCTGTGGTGGCCTTGGCCTGCCTCTTCTGCACCTCAGTAAGGCTTTTCCAGTAAACCAATGTTCTGTCTTCCTGTTTATAGGATCTTGCCTAAACACATGGTCTGCTGCCTCTGCAAATATAAAACTGATATTGAGATTGTCTGCAAGACAGTCAAACTGCATTGTCATAGTGGATGTCTGATAAACACCACACATTGTCGTGAGTCTCTTCCTGATAAATGTTTCTAATTTTATGCCTTAATTTTTAACTAGTTATGAAAAGTATTAACTGAAAATAATTGCTTATTTTTGTTCATTCATCTATAACTTCTTTGCTGAAAGTTGGGCTCTCAGCTAATATTGCATGATTGAAAAATAGAACTGTTCCATTTGCAGAAAGAGCAAGAGAAAGGAGTGAATGGGGGAGGGATAACATAAAGGACCACAGACTCTGCACGATGGTGTCTGCCTGGTACCTTGCTTCCCATGATCACATAGGCATGTAGTGCACTGCACTCTGTACACTGGCTTTGTGGACATCAGTCTCAAATGACTCCTGCCTTTTGGACATCTCTAGATGGATTGTGTTTAGTTTCCTTTTGTAATTTTATAAATGATACATTTTTATTTGGAATCTGAGAGCTTCTATTCTATATGACCAGTGAGTGCTGCCTCACTCCGATAATGGAGCAAAGAGCTCTTCCATGTCCACACTGACCAATTCTCTACTTGCTTTTAACCTCAGGCCTTTCTATAACCAGATCATTCAGGTAATTTTCAGTGTTTTTCTAAACTGAATGTGGTGGCATGTGGCAGTAATCCCAGCAATTTAGGAGGCTGAAGTAAGATGAACTAAGTTCAAGGCCAGACTAAGCAATTGAATGAGAACCTATCTCATTTTTTTTTTAATTTTAAAAGGGAACCAGGAATTAGCTCCATGGAGTAGCTTGTGCTCAGCCCTAAAGTATTTTTCTATATATTAGTTTGTTAGCATTAACTTCATCCCGAAATATGACAGCTTTCTTGTCTGAATAACTTGAATGCATGTCTTTAGCCTTGGTTGGGGGAAGATAAATAGAATTAGCATTTGACTGTATATATAAATAAGATGTTACTTATTTTTAATTAAAAAAAAGTTTTAACCAATTACATTATTCTCTTCTTCCCCAGAAATGGCAAGCATTTCCCTTCGTTTACACATCAGAACTGTCCACTGCTGTCACCTCATGCTTGAGTTATCTCTCCCTAATTCTAGGCTGTCCACAGACCTACATTTTTCCTTTCACCACTCCCTTGGGCCCTCGCTACCACCCAAAATCCTCTTAATTCTCCTGGGAAAGAAACACAGCTACACAGTGGTCCACTTGACCTTCATACTACCAGAAGCTTTGATTTGTTCCCATAAGGAGCTAGAATAATGAGCAATGAATGAGAATAGGCCTCAGACAAGAATAGCTCTGACCTTGGACATTTTATGACTTTGAGTAATATTTATCCAGAAATTGTTGTTGTTCTATAAATGGATTGTACATAAGGATAAACCTAGAACATTAAACATGTCTTCACCTATACTTTATAACCTCCTCCCCTCAAATATAAGGGAAGAACCAGGAAGATACACAGAAAGGATGCTTTTGTTCCAGGAGCTAGAATACATGGCAACAGAGCCTACAGGAAGAAATTGGTGGGTAGGTAGAGAAGAACATTCATCCAGATGTGAATGAGAGGCAGCTGCTTTAGCATTTCTGCCCTTACTCCCCTCAAAGGATGTCTGTCAATCATCGTGGTCAGCTGTGGGGTGTGTCAACACAGGGCACATTGAAAAGATGGAGAGAGGAAGCCTAATGGGCCTCTGGACTCTGAGGCAGGATGATGTGAATGTGTAGGAACCTAAGGAGGTTCTCTGCAGGTCAGTCAGACTTGCAGAGATGCTGGCTTTGTATTAAGGCTCAGGGTCTCTACTGGTCCATTGGCTGTCTTAATAGACTTCCTGTGTGCGCAGTGTGTAGTGTTCCCAGTAGGTGGCTGCTTTGCCAGTGACACTCTCTTTCTGCTCCTGTCATTTCACAGGATTAAGCTTAGGTTTGTTTCCCCACACACACTAATGGCACACCAGTATTTGCTGGCCCATAATTTATTTGACTACAGTGTATGGCTGTGGACTGAGAAAGGGCTAAAGTATTCTCTGACTAAAGGCAATCTCTTCCTTTTTGATAGTTGAAGAAGCATCTATAGGGAACCCAGAAGGACCATTCATGAAGGTGTTGCAGACCCGGAAGGAGAACACCACCATGGAACTCATTATTGAACCAGAGAAGGGCTATTCAGACAAAGAAAATGCCAATTACTCCAGCTCCATGGAAGAAGAGATCAACTTTAGTGATGAAAATGATGTTATGAGTGCACTAAATTACATACTGCCATATTTCTCTGAGGGAAATCTGGAAGATGTAGTGTCAACAATGTTACCATACATTAAACTGCTGTTTTCTCATGAACAAGATTCAGATAATTCCTTGGAATCTGTGCAGAATGATACAGAAAGTCGTCCTCTTAAAAATGAATCCGAGTCCGGTAACTTCACTTACAAAAATAAATTGAATAAACTTTATTTTCTAGAAAATTTGTTAGATGCAGAAATTAATGAGGTTAAAAAGGAAGGGAAAACTGTTGTACAGAAGGAGAAGTATAATAATTTAGGTAAAAAATTTAAGCGAGAAATATTTGAAAAGAGATGGGAACCTGCCCAGGCAGAGGAAAGCAGTCTTGCAGAGATTGAGAAGGCAGAGAAAAGGCTCCACAGGATGAACAGAGTACTCCAGGGGACAGGAAGCATACAGAAAAGGCATTTCAAGGACGTGAGTGCCAAGAGCCTGTGGAGCAAGCAGAGTGACCACGCACCTGTGGAGAACATCGTCAAAGACGGGCATCTCAGGAGCCCACCCACAACAGAGCTGCAGCAGCTCCATCCGGGGCAGAAGCTCAGGAAGTCAGGGGGAAATTTCTTCCACTCAGAGCCCTTGCTCCCAAAGGAACACAGGGAGGCAGTGTCTTCTCCCCCAGAACAGTCCCTGGTGGACGAGGCTCCCACTACAAAGTCTCTACCTGAGTTCATAGACAGACGAAAAGACTTGTCTTACACCATTTATGTTTTAGAAAGTGCAAATGCCAATGTGAAAAGAACGAAGGGGTCTAATCCTAATTTACAGTCTGAAGAGAGACATCGAAACCTTAGGAAGAAAAAATCTCATTTCCAGTTGATTGCAAAGAAGCCAGCATCCTCTGTAATGAGGAGCCTGGTAAATTCCCCTGCTGGAGGGGTCTTTTCATCTTTAGGAGACCTGAGTTATACAGAAAAGCCTATTTCAGAAATATATGCTGCTTTAGAACCTACAGAAAAACAGCTCGAAGAAAATCAGGCTGCAACAGATAATACTGAAGAAAACATCCTCGAACCAACCGTCATGATGCCTGAAGAAGCTGTATCAGAAAATGTACCCTCTGAGAATCCGGTTGTATATTCTAATGTGCCTACATCCTATGTAATTCCAACAGTTAAGCAAATCAGTGATCCACATTTAGAATTCGTCTTGGGGTCTCAGAAACATTCCCATTTCAAAGAATATGAGTACCCATTGGTGATGTCACCAGGTGAACACTTTGAATCTCATCTAAACAAGCAGCTGCAGCCCCTTATCCCCAACAATGACGTGAGGAGGCTTATTTCTCATGTTATCAGGACTTTGAAGATGGACTGCACTGACTCCGAAGTGCAACTGTCCTGTGCCAAGCTCATCTCCAGAACAGGGCTCCTGATGAAGCTTCTCAGTGAGCAACAAGAATTCAAGTTTTCCAGGACCGAATGGGATACAGAGCAGTGGAAAAATGAGAACTACCTCAATGAGACCTCAGAATCCCACCTGGAACCAAGTCAGGTGAGAACAGTGCCGGAACATGGGGCCCCTGCCTTCTCAGTCATTCAAGCAGAAAGACCAGGGCTCCCAACTCCAGATCTTGTATTGGCCACACAACTCTAGCCCAGCTGAGACAGTGATTCCCACAGTGCTTCTAAATTTATTGACAGAAGCCAACCTAAAACACAAAATATAATAATTGTATTAGATAGGTAGCATGTTCGATTTGGTATGTTCTTTTAGAATCAGCGAGCTACTGAAGTAGAAAATTTTTATTAGCATTTTTTTCTTACTATCATTTTGTTTTATAGTATTGGGGATTAAATTAAGAACCTTGTATACATAATATGCAAGGACCTGGCCACTAAGCTATATGCTGTAGCCTATAGTTTTGCTTTTGTTTATTGTTTGGTTGGGGAGTTTTGTTTTGTCTTATTTTGTTTTGTTTGAGACAGTGTCTCACTATGTAGCCTGGAAATGCTGTGTAGACCTGGCTGGCCTTGAATTTACAGAGATTCACCTGCTTCGACCTCTAGAGTGCTGGTATTAAAAGTGTGGGCCACCTTGCCAAGCCCAGCTCTTAGTTTTATTGAGTCAAAGTCGTAATGTTAATCCAGGTAGCCTGGAACTTACCTGGTGTTCTAGGTTGTCCTTGAACTCCTATCAGTCCTCCTAGCCTAACTTCCAAATGCTAGATTATATACATAAGTTACCATGCACAGCTAGCCTTCGCCTTCCCTCGTTCTTTTTTCTTTATCAGTTTTTAACAACCACACAAATGTCCATTCACTTATTTTATATATTCCAGCGTGCAAAACAAGTTCCAGGATTCAGCTACAACAACAAAGTCATCTTGGCAGTATCTGTAACTGTAGTGGTGACAGTTTTGATTATCATTTTCTGTCTCATTGAGGTAAGAACAACAGGACATTCATGTGTCCAGAATGTACCCTGTGTGTGTAATAGATTTAGAACCTGCGAACTGAAAACCTGAGCCATTTACTCTCTGTCTACAATGATGTCCCTGTGTGTTCACGGGTATTCTGTCTGTGCAGCAGGGCTCCTCAATGTCAGGTCGTTATGTAACATTCTGATTTGATGTCAGGGGTGGTGTGGGTGTGAGACACCATGGGAGCAATGGAGAGTTCTCTGCCGGTGAGGATGGTGGAACTGTGAGTGTAGAAGGCAGAGGATGTCCTCTGGCCACTGCAGAGACAACACCTCTACTCCTACTGTGGCTGTGACCTCCGGGAAATCTCTGTGAAGTCCTCCATTTCTCTTTAGTTGTGTTTACACTTCGCCCTGCCCTTGCATTTATTCATACTTTCATTATTTCTTTCTTTCTTTTTTTTTTTTTTTTTGTTTTTCGAGACAGGGTTTCTCTGTGTAGCTTTGCGCCTTTCCTGGAACTCACTTTGTAGCCCAGGCTGGCCTCGAACTCACAGAGATCCGCCTGGCTCTGCCTCCCGAGTGCTGGGATTAAAGGCGTGCGCCACCACCGCCCGGCTCATTATTTCTTCTACCAATTTAGATGATAGGTTCTGTGAGAACAGTAAGCATGCCCTGTGTTTTGCCTGTAGTAGATAGCAGTGCTGTTCAAAGAAGATAAATGAAGCATTCCATCAATTCCACTATGAGGAATGATACAATCCAGTACTTACTTCAAATAGCATCAGAGAAAGATGTTTGGCATGCCTCTGTAGTCCCAGCTCTCGGAAAAGAGAAGCAGAGTGAGCCAGAGTTCACAATCATTCTCAGCAATCTAGTGAAGTCAGGCCAGGAATATATGAAATGTTGTCTTTAAAAAAAGAGGTGAGCCGGGCGGTGGTGGCGCCCGCCTTTAATCCCAGCACTTGGGAGGCAGAGGCAGGCGGATCTCTGTGAGTTTGAGGCCAAATGGGTCTACAGAGTGAGATCCAGGACAGCACCAAAGCTACAAAGAGAAACCCTGTCTCAGAGAGAGAGAGAGGAGAGAGAGAGGAAGAGAGAAGAGGAGAGGAGAGGAGAGGAGAGGAGAGGAGAGGAGAGGAGAGGA